GGCTGACATGCGCTGAGTCAGAGGAAAAAAATTTAGCCCCTTTCTGTTTGGTCTGCTTGTAAAATTTTCCCCATCTGGAAAGAGGTTTATCGGCACAGACTACTGGGAGTATAGTCTAAATTCTTTCAGGTTTGGTGGATTCTTTTCATTGTGGGAACTGGAAAATCACCAAGAATCCAACTCAGATAACTTAAGCAGAGAAGGCCCCCAAGTATAACACAAAATCGAAGACCAAATCGAGAAGCACAAATATCAATTTTATTTTACTTTTACAGAACAATGCTCATGGAAAGAAACTAACCCATCTGTTTTACTCATAACAAAGGAACAGCCAAGAGGCATCCACAGGATTTATTACACAGTTATCAACCTATTACCAAGCAGAAGAATTAAAGTGACAAACCAAATCATGGATGCCTAACATCTTATCCAAAGCAACGAACTTAGTTACAGCAATACTGCAAGAGGCGATGTACAAAATGCACAAAGGACCTACAAATGTCTCGTACAGTGTGGTTTTCGTCCTACACGTTTGGGTTTAGTTTAACACACAGTTTGGCTCAAGTGTAGAAAACGCAGTTACTGTTGCTATTTTCAAGTTTCTCAAAATGGAAAACTCACTATTTTATTTTAAAAATAATTCCCATTGGTACACAGGGACACTTAGATAACTGGGGGGGGGGAGAATCTGGAACTCAGAACTCCCTTGTTGGCACTGGGACAGCACAGAGAGGACTGATTTTCCTGCTCGACGGTGGTGTCGATGTTGACTGGTGGGGCTTCCCTGGTTTCCAAGAAGCTTTGAATCTCTCTGCAACCACAGTTGCTTAAGGCAAATTCTTAAGTGTTCTCTTTCTTTCTTTCCAGCATGCCCTCCTCTTTAGCCTCTAGTCTGAGCAGGCAGAATACTGCACGTGGCTTGACTCTCACAGGTAACAATTTTAAAAGAGCCAAGCATGATACACAGCACTTAGGATTTGAGATGAAGCCACAGACCATCCCTCAAGTGCAAAGGCTTTAATTTGCTTAAGACTCACAGCTCCAAGAAAACAAAACCAAAATGCATTGGTTGAGCAAACATAGCCAGGATGGGATATGTGTGGGCTTCCCCTGGATCAAGTGAGCAAACCAAACAGCTGTTTCTTGGCTGGCCCCCAGTCAGGTAAGGATGCTTATTCTGAGTGAGCTGTTATTTGGTGGCTTTGCTGAATCAAGTAACCCTCGTTTATGGCTGTTTGGGGAACTTGTGAGAAACTGGCGATTAAGAGTACGATGTAAACACCCATTGTCAAACCCACAAACTATGGCTCACTTCCTGTACGGCACTCATCATCTAAATCTGGCCTCTGTGACCCTGGAGTCAGGCTCTGTGCCCTTCCCGGCAGAGAGGACTGGCTTTTTACTGGCCTTTTCATCTTAAGTCTAAATGGTGGCTCAGCTCACCAACATCTATTTAAGAAGGTTGACATCTTGAAAGTAACAAAGCTTGACTGTAGTGTCCCAAATTAAAATGGCAAAAAAGCGTCCTACAAGACAGATCAGGGGTTGCTTTTTTTGGGGGGTTTTTTTCCGAGATAAAATTCAGGTATCTGGGCAAAGCACATTCTGAACTCTAAGGAAGAAACCAGCACTCCTAAGGCAGCCAGAGGGTGGCGCACCTGTAAAGCAAGTGCTTTACTGCCATGACACATGGCGCCACGACACATGGCGCCACGACACTCTGAGCCTCTCAGTTCACTGCCCCTTGGCTGACAAAGTGGAAAACAAAAAGATAAGCAAAACCAAGACACCCCCCAGAAGCCGGAATTCAGAGGCTCGACTAACTGTATCCAATAAGAGAAGAAAGGGCCCAAGGCCAGGAAATGGGCAGATCAGCTGTGAAAACACCAACCTCTTAGCTCTGGGCTGGCTTAAAGCAAGAAAGAAATGATCTCCGGCCCATAATCATCCTTTTGTGTCAACTTTCAACCTGAGGAAGCAAATTCTGGCCTCGAATCACAGCATCACTTGCCAAGTGCAAAAGCCGTAGGTACTTCCTTCAACGTTACAAGTGACCCAAACATTTTCCTGTGGGACAACTCAAACCAAAATGTAGGTGTAAAATAGAGAACCCAATGGCATGAAAGATCTTTTAAAACTTACAGGGGTGGGGGACAGCAGAGCTGTAAAAGACAACTTTCTTTATACATTCTTTACATAGTTCTGACTGCCATGTTGTGTGGTCTTTAAAATCAAAAAGACAGGGGGCAGCTAGGTAGAGCAGTGGATAGAGCACTGGCCCTGAAGTCAGGGGGATCTGAGTTCAAATCCGGCCTCAGACCAAACACTTGACACTTACTAGCTGTGTGACCCTGGGCAAGTCACTTAACCCCAATTGCCTAAAAAAAGGGAAAAAAAAGTGAATTAAAATCAAAAAGACACCTGGGAGGGTCCTCAACACTCTAGACATGTGAAACTACAGCTCATAGGAAATCATGAATAAAATGATCACTGGGATTTTAAAGGAAAGTTTTCTATGCCAACTGTGTGTGCTGGAGGGAAAAAAAAAAGGAAAGAGACAGGCCAGTCTTATGGTGAGAGTGAAGGATGTTGCAGCAACACCAGTCAAATTTGAAGAAGGTCTCCGGCAGGGTTGCTCCCCTGTGCCTGAAACTTTCTATGAGGTCACAGACACTGGACAGTATGGGTGAGCTGTGTGCGGATAGTAATCTAAATTAATGCACTGGATAATATCCACACTGAGAAGACCAAAGATACATCCATTGGAATCTACATGCCATAAGAATGGACATGTCTTCATAGACTGAAGAACTTTATAGAACTCCACACCCATTAATTTTTTTCTGCTTTTTTGTTTTGTTTTGTTTTATAATTAGGGTGAGAGGGGCACAGAGATTATATTTCATCAGGTAGGGAACTCTTGGTATGGAAGCTCCTTTCACCAATGCAGGTGGGGTACTCATTTGTTGTTGTTTTTTTGTTTTTAGGCAATTGGGGTGAAGTGACTTGCCCAGGATCACACAGCTCGTGTCAAGTGTTTGGTTTGAGGCTGGATTTGAACTCAGGGTTGGCGCTCTATCCACTGTGCTACCTAGCTGCCCCAGGGCTACTCATCTGTAACCTGTACTCTCAGAGAGTAGCCTGGAAGTGCTAAGAGCTTTAGGGTCATACAGCTAGCATCACAGGCAGGACTTAAACCCAGGCACCCCTGACTCTAGTGCCGGCCCCCTGTGCACTACGGCATATTGCCTTTCATCTGGTAGACAAGCTGTATCCCTACGTGTCTTGCATTTAGTAGGTGGTTAATAAATGCTTGTAGAATTGAACCGGAGAATTAATACCTTTCAACGACTGGCCATCAGCCGTGTTGCTTAATCCTCTACCTCCATCGCCCCACACAAATCTGCTATGTTTTCTCCATGTGGAAATATCCTCCAACCATGCAGGTTGGCAGCTTCTCTGTAACTTAGGGGTCTTAGAAGAGTTGCCTGGGATCATGAGAGATTAATGACTTGCTTGGGTCAGAAGCAAGGCTGAAGGCAGGCCTTCCTACGTGTCCGTAGGGCCAGGACCCAACCCCCGCTCCTGCCACACTACCTCTCTATCCCAGCCAAGGAAATGGGCCGGATCCAAAGGAATTGGTTCAAGTGTTTTTTTCTTTCACAAATGGCACAGATTAACAAACATGAACTCTAGGTGGAAAACCAGTGCCAGGTTAACAGCATGAAATGCCAACAAAACACATATTCATTCCTATGGACACACTGACGATGACGTGGGTAGAATGGGTTATCATTACTAAAATGTCTTAGCCAAAGGTAACAAAAATAGACCATTTCTGTACATTTACATTCCCTGGATGTAAAGGGGCCCCAGAACGCCTACAGATGGCGTCTGTGTGACAACATGGAATGAGGACAGTCAATCCAAAATGAGGTCCCAGGTCTGGCGGCTGGATGCAGGAAATCTGAAGTCTTCCACGTCACAAGAGGTAAAGATTTCCAGAAATAATCGTGTAATATGTTGTTGCCTCATCTACAGATTCAGCAATGAATTCCTATTATTAATCTGTGTTTCAAGGAGTTGTTTTTGTTTTTTTGAGAGGGCAAATTCCTGGAATCCAGAAGGTCTGAATTCTACAAAAGAGCTGTGCATTTTCTTTTTCTTTTTTCTTAAATGTGGATCACAGGCAGCTTCAGAAGCTACCAACTCATCAGCTCTCTGAGGAAACACAGGTCTTAGGAAGCATGCACAAGACCTGAGAACCAGATTCTAGGGGATCTGTCATTTGTGACCAATGGCAAATCTTGCAAATGTCAACGCTCTGCAACTGGGCAACCAGCCCCCAAAGTTCTGAGCCCTCTCCTGCTGAGGCAGAGAAGGGGAAGCTGGTGAGGACGCGGAGTGGAGATCTGTGGAGACCTGTGGCAGGCGGCTGATTCGGTGGGCCATCTGATGTCTTCACAGAGCAGCAGAAGGCCCCCACAGCCCCAACACAGCAAGGGGAAGTGAATATTCTTCAATTCTACCCTCTCTTTTAGGGAGAAGAAGGAAAAGTGATTTCAAGGGAATGTCACTGAAGACAAAAGCTCTTCCAAGTCTGAGTAAACAAATCTGGAATGTCCACTGTATACATGAGTTGAACTTACTGAAGAGGTCTCTGCAAGCTAACAGGCCTGCTGTTTGCTCTCCTGCTTCAGGCAAGCCTCTCCAAACAGGCAGAACTTAACAGAGACTTAATTATTGCTCTTTGTTTCAGAGAGATTTGATCTACATCAGTAGTTACTCAAAGCATTTTACATTTTTCCAGGTGAGAAGCCAAGCTGAAAGCTAATGAGATAATTAGGGGAGGCCAAGTTGGGCAGGAGGGAGAGAAAATGAGATGGGGGAGGGAAACAGTAGAACATAGAGGACCTCAAGTGGCTTTTCTCTTTTCTTATTCACAGAAAAAACAAACCTCACTGTCAGCTGATTCTGAGGACCATCAGGGCTATACAGACAGCATGAGAAACCTAAAAACTCACATTATGGGAAATCCCTTTCCCCATTCCTTTCCCAGGTTAAAAATGGGGACAGAATGCCACTTTACACCATCATCAAAACCCAAAACTTCAATCTGAAGAATATTTTTTTTAAAAAGTGCTACAATAATACACATTGCCAACACTTCTGCCACTCCCACCTCCCCATCCAATGCCCCCCCTCCCAAGCTCATTAAGGTCAGGTTATGGAAAAGAGGTCAATTCTCTCCCCACCACCCCATTCCAAAGTAACTTCATCTGTCTCTCTCTGACAATTCAACTTACAAACAGCTCCAGGGATGTCAACAGACACTAGGAAAGGCACCATCAGGGGAGGTGGTGGAATACTGAACCAATTTCTGAAACTTCTGGTTCATGGCGCAGACTTTTTAGACAAGATGTTCTAAGATGGGGCCACCTCATAAACAGAAGGGAATCGCATGAGAGGTTGGGGTCCTTCCTTAGGCCACTCGGAGCTACAGGAGTAAGACAAGCTGTTAGTTAAGATTCTAGCTTTACCCACAGAGCACAGTTTTTTATTCCCTGAAATCTGCTCTAAACCCCATCTATCCATTGTTAGATGGGGTTTTTTAAGTACAGTATCATTTTAAACAGTTTATTTTAACCAAAAATGTAAACACTAACACCTTTTACCAGCTTTCTTTCTCTACTCATCAACTTATGTAGAAAAAGAAAATTAAAATCTTCATAAAGTCAATGAGTGGCAAAGGTGGGGAAGGGGGCAGGGAGCTGCAGTTTTAACCCCATCAATGCTAAGAAAGAAAGAAACCACCCAGCATTAGAGCTATATTACACTAAACTGAAAAACAAAAAGAAGATCCCAAACAATTACAAGGTAGGAGACATTCTGTTTTAAATCAGCCAGTGCAGGGAATTAACCGTCAGTTGATGTTCTACTCCTCACCCACAGCATCGAGAGGCAGGGGCAGCTGGCATTAATAATCAGGTGGGCATGGCTGGCAAAGAGGGTGTGAAGGGAAACCCCTTCGGCATGAGAGGACAACACTATTTTCTAAAGAGCTTGGGGCGAGGGGGTCAGGGGAGGGACTTATTGCACTCCATAATTTAAAGTAAGCCTGTGAAATGACCCCTTTTTCTAAATATTTCACGCTGTGACATATCACTGGTTGGTTGGTTGTTGTTTTAATACACAGGTTGTGAAATTTTTAAAAAAAGGCAAAATGTGGAGGTACTGACAGCAGGGACCCCACTCTGGGTCCCTGCCCCCAATCTTCCCCTTTAGAGCCAGTGGAAAAAGGGTGGGTAAGGTATGTGTCAACATGTGTCCACTGCCACGTTCCACAGAGAGCCACTGTTACCTCAGCAAACCTGTGGTCCCCGGCACAACCAGCTTTGCTATTGCTGGCCCATCAGCAGCGCTGGCGGCATCCTTTTGGGCTGAAGGCTTATCGCAGATTCTGAAGGAAAAAGAAATGTCGTGAACCCCCCCGGGGTGATCATCTATGAGATTTGTCAGTCTCGGTTTCTTTTCCACTTAAGGACGTGAAGGAATCAGAGGACTCAAGCCTCTCCTGGATTCTCTGTTTTCTGTGATGGGGAAGTTCGGTGATTCCCATGGGCAGTAGTTGCAGGGAACATTCACCTGGGCACCTGGATCTCCAGCTCTGTTTCCACGGGTCCCCATCATCATCCCCAGGAAGCCCTGGGCTGCTTCCACGGAAGCGGGGCGATGGCGCTTGTTTTCTGTATGGCACCCCATTCCAGCCCCCAGCAGAAGTTCAAAGGCAGTGGCAGGGCGTTGTTTGTTTCACATTACTTTGGGGACAGTACTGAGTTGAAGCTGCCCCTCTCCAGGGTGCTGACGCTCAGGTCTCTTGCCCTGTATCACGTCCTGCCGTGGTTCTCGTGTCAGGAGAAGTACACGCCTCTTGCATCGGAGCATGTGGCTTCCTCACATTCCAGCTGCCTTGCCTGCCCCCTCCCCAGTCCCCATCTGCACATCAACAGTGAGGAAAGAGCAGCTCCCACGAGACACCAGGGCTGGACGCTGGTGGGCAGGATGGCAGACTAGGGTCAGTTGTACGGCTTGGAGTCCTTGGTGATCAGTGGTTCCGTGTCCTCAGGGGAGGTGGGACTGGCAGTCACAGCGAAGCTCTGCATGGCCTCCTGTTGATGCTGCTTGGCTTTGTTGTAGAGCAGCACGCCGATGGTCACCAGAACCGTCCCAATGGCTGACAGGCTGGTGATCTTGTTCCCAAACACAATAATACTCAGCCAGACTGACAGCGCATGCTTCACTGTGCTGGCCACGCTGGAAGAGAAAAGTGGTAATGATGTCAACAGAGTGTGATGCCCTTGCCTCGTGCCCAGGTTACCCGTCATCTGCAGGAGGGCCACGGTAAATCTGGGTCATGTGACAGGCATGAGACGGCCGTAGCCCAGTGAGTGGATTTCCTCACCCACTGGGTAACCCATGTGGATGGTTAGGGCAATGGTGGAAAAGGCAGCTAGATTACCTTGAGCTCTCCAAATCCGGGGGGAGCAAAACATTTTTAAAAGGTCTAGTTTTTCCACACTCTTATTAAGCATCCTTTTAAACCAACCATTCACAATCATTTAAAACCAAAAGGTTTTTCCCAATATGTGTGCGTGGAGAGGGGGGGCAGGTAGGAGGGAGAGAATGCAGATCTGAAAATAAAATAAAACTTAATTTTTTTAAATAAAAAAAGGGTCCTTGAATCTCTGAAAACAACTTTAACTTAATACACCTTCTACATTCCCCAACACACACATACTCACACATCCTCTCATATACCCTTTAGTGTATACATTACACTAGTGTTTAGTATATTTCTAAGTCAATATCACAGGAGCACAGTATTATAGATTTAGAGTTGGAAGGGACCTTAGCGGCCTTCAAGTTCAATACCTTCATGTTACATAAGGAAATTGAGGTTCACAGAGGTTAAATCACTTGCTCAGAGTCATGCAGTAAGAGTCTGAGGCAATAGCAGGGTCCATAAAGGAGTCTAGTCATACAAGGCATGAGGGTGGTTCTGTTATGTCTTGACATGGAGGGGAAGAAGAATACATTGGAGTGGGGAGGGCCGGGGCAGAGGGGAGGGGGGGAGAGAAAGGAAGATTAGGGGAAATTATCTCACATAATTTGGACACATAAATTCATATCTATATACAAACCAGGAGAAGTGGGTGAGATGGAGTGGCTGACACTTTTTGAACCTCACTTCCATAAGAACTGGTCCAATGAAGGAAAAACAAACACACACACACACACACACACACACACACACACACACACACACACACACACATACAACTGGGTACAGAAATACATTTCACTCAACAAGGAAACAGGAGGGAAGGGGGAAAAGGACAGAAGGAGGACTCAGAGCCAAGGTAGACTAAGGGAGGAGTTAGCTCTAAGCAGAACAAACTGTAAAAATATTTATAGCTCTTTGAGCTGGCAAAGAATGGAGTCTGAGGGGGTGCCCATCGATCAGGCAATGGCCTAACGTGTTATAGTATATAAATGTGATGCAATGCCATCATGTTGATCTCTTATCAGCCTAATGATCAACCAGGATTCCAGAGGACTAGTAATGAAACATGCCACTCAACTGACAGATAAAGGACTCAGAATGAGAATTTTTTGGGACATGGTCAATATAGAAATTTGTTTTGATCGACTATATATGTTTGTAATGGATCTGATTTTTGTTCTCATTCTCAATTGGGGCAAGGAAAGGGCTTGATAATAGGGTGAGAAGGTAGATTTTGGCTAAACCACTAGAATTTTTTTTTTTAAAGAATCTGAGCTAGGATTTGAACCCAGGTCACTCTTACTCTAAGGCTAGCCCTACGTTTCTTGAGGGTGAGGGCTGTATTTGTTAGTCAGTTTTATCACAGCTCACCATGTGAAGAAAACACGCAAGGCACACCATTGTAAAGCTGACCCTCTAATAAGAAAGTGATTACCTTCTCACCTGTCTTTTTAAAATCTTTATTAAAGATACATCTATATGAAAGCAGAGAGAAGCTGAGCAGGGTCACACAGTAATTAAATATCTGAGTCACAATTCAAATTCAGGTCTTACTTCAAGTCCAGCACTTTATCCACTATACCCCACTGCCTCCTTTTAGTACTTCCTACTGTAATTACATTAAAATTATTTACTTCTACAAGTCCACTCCACTCCAGAGTGATAGACTGAATAAATTTTCAAACTTTTTTCAATGCACTGATCAACTGTGCTGAATTTTTTTCCTTAAAATATATTATTTTTTATATGGGATGGCTCTCTGAAAAGAGGTTGAGGAGGGATACTTGGAGACATTTTGTTGATATAAAAAAGACAGCAATAAATTTTTTTTTTAAATTGCCAATTTCTGAAACTAGGCAGACTATAAAGATGACAATGACATCTAGTCTATCTCTAAGTCTCCAGGTAGGATTAAACTGAAACTATTCCAAACAAATTATTTTCTCTTCTATATCCCTAAAAGATTTCTACAAGAGACTCACTGTACAACTTTGAAAAGCTGTAGTAAAAATGGCATTTTATGGGTAACAGCGGGTCAATACAATAATCACAGTGATTGAGATATAACTACAATTTTGGAATGCCTGACTAACATCAACCAGACAGGAACACCTGGTAATTCACACTCTAGTTTATTTCAAGCTTCCAACAGCCATAGCACAGGAACACCTGGTAATTCACACCCTAGCTTATTTCAAGCTTCCAACAGCCATAGCACAGGAACACCTGGTAATTCACACCCTAGCTTATTTCAAGCTTCCAACAGCCACAGCACAGGGACACCTGGTAATTCACACCCTAGTTTATTTCAAGCTTCCAACAGCCACAGCACAGGGACACCTGGTAATTCACACCCTAGTTTATTTCAAGCTTCCAACAGCCACAGCACAGGGACACCTGGTAATTCACACCCTAGTTTATTTCAAGCTTCCAACAGCCACAGCACAGGGACACCTGGTAATTCACACCCTAGCTTATTTCAAGCTTCCAACAGCCATAGCACAGGGACACCTGGTAATTCACACCCTAGTTTATTTCAAGCTTCCAACAGCCATAGCACAGGGACACCTGGTAATTCACACCCTAGTTTATTTCAAGCTTCCAACAGCCATAGCACAGGGACACCTGGTAATTCACACTCTAGCTTATTTCAAGCTTCCAACAGCCATAGCACAGGAACGCCTGGTGACTTATGCTCTGGATCATTTCAAGGTGACTCATACTCCCACTAATGTCTCCTGCTTACCTGAAAGTGACAGGGGAGATCTTTCCCATCAAGGCATAGGCTGTGACACTCTGAAGGTGGAACAAGACGCCATCCATGAGAAGCAGCAAGATGACATCTTGATTGTAATGGAAACTTTTTCCACTCTTTCCAATCACTGGCATATCCTGTACGAGTCAGAAGCAAAATAAACAAATAAATAAATGCAGCTGCTTCATACTCTGAATATAATGAATCTCTAGATTAGAAAGCCTGATAATATAGAAATCTGGCTTCTTTTTTGGGGGGAAGGGGAGTTAAGAAGATATCACTTTGGGGCCATAGTCCTTAACAATATGAAATTTCTAATCATATTAAAGTCAATCAAGTGATCAGATGAAATAATATCTATTGGGGCAGCTAGGTGGCGCAGTGGATAGAGCTCTGGCCTTGAAGTCAGGAGGACATGAGTTCAAATCCAGTCTCAGACACATGACACTTACTAGCTGTGTGACCCTGGGCAAGTTACTTAACCCCGATTGCCTCACCAAAAAGCAAAAAAAAAAAATCCTTTAAAAAAAAAGAATATCTATTAAAAATAGTACCTATCACAGTGTCTGACACATAGTAAGAAGCTATATAAATACTAATTTCCTTCCCCTTTCCCATACAATAAACATTTATTGAGGATCTAATGTGGTTAAGGGACTATGTTATTATCTTTCTGATTTTGGTATAAAGTTGGCTTATTTTTCTAAGCTGGTGGGGGAGGAGGTTGGAAAAGAGAAGATATGTTTATTAGTCTGACTGAGCTCTGAAAAAGGAGTTAACCAAATGACAAAACGTATTTTGTGCCCTGGACCCTTCTGGCAGCCAGACACATAAAAGTACAGACCCTTTCTCAGAATAATGTTATTAAATGCATAAAAATAAAATACATAGGATTACAAAGGAAATCAACTATATTGAAATGCAGCTATCAAAATGTTAAAGAAGACTTCATGACCTCAGGTTAAAAATGGTTGCCTCATATGCTTTGAGAAATGCAAAATGTGGACACATCCCACACAGCAGAGTAATGGCTCTCAGGCCTGAAGGAACAGCTCATAAACAAAGGCAAGCAGGAAAAGACAGAAGGAATGAGGCCCCGACCCAGGACTTCCTTTGTAAGGGGAACTCTGAGAGGGTGAAATGCTCTCTGCCAATGCCTTCTCTGCAGCTGACGGTGGTAGAGGGCAGCCCAGCACAGGCCTCCATCGCCTGAGTCCTGGTCACATGGCCAGTCTGGGGCAGGGGCAGGACTTTGAACCCAGGTCTTCCTGACTGATTCTGAGGCCAGCTCTCTATCGACTACACCACAGGGCCTCTCCACTCTCTGAAAATCAATCTCATGGCCAACAGCAAAGATCTATCTTTGCACGAAGCCACTCTCACCATGAAAAAGATCCAAGCTGGAATGAGCATGACCACAGCAGCAGCACTGGTATAGAACTGAAGTTCTGGGGCACTGCACAGAAAAAAATAGTAACAAAGGACAAAGAAAAAAACACATGCCCACTTCAAAGGCAAAGCAAATCTGAGCGTAGAAACCTTAACCCTCCTCCCCCACCTCTTACTCCCCCCATCAGGTACTCTGAAATCCTGTGACACTGGTCCCCTTGCTGCTCCTCCCACAAGACATCCCATCCCCGCCTGTGGGTATTTTCCCTGGCTGGGCCCCATGTCTGGTGAGCTCTCCCTCCTTATCTCTGTCCAGCTCGGATTCCACCTTCTACTGGAAGACTTTCTCAATCACCCTTGTTTCTGGGGCCTCCTCTGTTGATGGGCCCCAATTCATTTGGTCTATATCTTGTACTTATTAGAATGCTGACTATCCCATTAGACTGTAAGCTCCCTGAGGGCAAGGACCGTCTTTTACCTTTCTTTGTATCCCCAGCACAGTGCCTGGCACACAGTAGGTGCTTCATAAATGCTTGCTGGCTGACTGAATCCTTTCTGAGATAACCTCCACTTTGTCCTGTACGCATATTGTATGTACATAGTTATCTGTATGCCTCCTCATTAAATCATGAGCTCTCTGAGGGCAGGGGCATGGTATATCCCCAGCATATGGCACGCAGTAGGTACTTAATAAAGGCATGCTTCAGATACTGGGTGAGGAGGCTCCTTTAGAAAGCATCCTGGACAACTGAAATTATGCTTTTCTTGTGTGAGGAGGGGGGACAACCAAGTCACATGAGGAACCTGGGGAGCTGAAGCCTAACGTCATACACTTTGTGACTGTTAAAGGAATTCCTGAGCAACTGTGAGTGACGGGCCGGGGTCTTCACATTTCTGCTAGGCCAAACCCACCAATTCACTGCACACAAGTATTTAACACTTGGGAATCATCAGTGTAGCTCAGACACCTCAAATGGGCCATGGGATCCCTGGGGGACCCCGGTGAAAACCTGAGGCTCCATGCACTATGAATACTTACGAAAACCTGTATTTATCCCCACTGAGCAGCTTTTTGGAAAATACATTTTGCAAACTAGGAAAAGAAAAAAAAACAGAAAAAATATTTCATTGGCAAGTTAGAAATAAGTGAAAATTGGAAATAATTCTTAAAAATACCTAAAGCAACCACTTCACTATAAACTAGGACAGAAATGTTTCTAAGGAATAAGCTGTACTTTCCTGTGGACTACAAAAATATTACATGGATGGGTAAACGTACAATATGGGCTCTTCCCAAACAATAGTCTAACACAAATAATCTATCTCCCCCCAGTCTTGAGTAAGATGATTCAAAACAAATCATCTCGGGCATAAAAAAGTTGCATCTTACATCCTGTATCTGCCTAGCTCCTTTCTCTTTTATATTTAGTATCAAAACACACTTTTACACGGGCACTGTCACAATACAGAGGATATGGCGAGACAGGGTAAGGGACTGGACTCGGACTGGTGATGGTCTTTGGTTCGGGGACTCCCAGGTGAAGGAATGCCCTCCACCAAGGCATGTCTCCCCCTTGTCTGTGATTTAATGATCAAGACAGTTGTCTAGAGCAACGAGGACTTAAGAGACGTGGCCCAGGGCCACACAGCCAGGAAATGCCGTAAGAGAGCCTGGAGGCCAGTTTTCAAAGTCAGCTCTCTCTCCTAGCCCTTGCAGCCTTTCTGTGCTGAGATGTGCATCCTTGTGGGGAGCTCGCAGGGGGCCAACTGCCTCCATCAGTGTACATCAGCACCTCCTCTGCCAGAGACTAGTGGTACCCGGGCTACCCAGGGTTAAGAGGCTTGCCCAGGGCCAGCCAGAGGACCTATGACTCATCCGCTCGGCCCCCTGCCTTGCCCAGTCTGCCTGGGCGCACTTCAGCATTCCAAATGGAACTGTTCACCTGAAATGAACGTTTAAAGTATGAACAGCACACGGCACTGTACTGCAGCTTACAAGCAAATGAACAGGTTTTCTGTACTCACTGGAGGGGAACCTGGCTTTAGAGCTCCCAGTTTACCATTCTATGAAGCAATATTAAAGTAATTTATCACCTGACACCTGTGATTCTTATGGAAGAAAATCCAGTGCAGCTAGGGATACTCTAAGAATTTCCTCTCACCTTTAGCCCCACTGGAACCAAACATCATCTGCTCCTAAGATTTTTCAATTTATCTTTCCTTTTTTCAGTCTCTCTCTGACTCTCTATTTCTCTCTAAGTCTGTCCCTCCCTTCCTCTCTCATCTTTGTCTCTCCCTCCCTCTCTGTCTCTCCCTCCCCTCTTATCTCCCCCCTTTTTCTCTGCCTCTCCCTCCCCCCTTCTCTCTCTCTGTCTCTTTCTTTGCCTCTCTTTCCCTCCCTCCCCCTCCCATCTTTGTCGTTCTTTTTCTGTCTCTCTCTCTCTCTCACTCTCACTATGGTCCTAGGTCTTACCAGTCCATGATGTTAGTGGACAAGGCTGCAGAGAACCCCAGGACGTTGAAGCTGATTTCAGTAGCTGTGCAGAGCGCGAGCCCACCCATGACGGGGATAAGGGATAGATTCACCAGCAGTCCTAGAGAGATTGGAGGGAAGAAGAGGAGAGATAAGCTGCTGCCTATAGCTTCTAGTCTCCAAAATGTACTATTAGATAAGTCTTTCTTATGAGAAAAAAAATTTGGGCCCACAACTTAAAAGCCCATGTGTTTCTCTAACAGATATATTTACTGATAATTTTATTGATAATGTATTCACATGATGGGCAAGTCATCATTAACTCAATAATTGGTCATAGAAAGTCTGACCTCATGACTTTACTAACGTGGGAAACCCCCAGTGAGGAAACCCTTTCCACCAAGGCAGGCCGCCGGGCCTCTGTAGCTTTTGGTCTTTGGAGAGTTGCCCAGGGCTGGGGGCAGGATGTTTCTGAGACAGGACACACTAAGGAGTCTATGCCAACAGGGAGTGGCACAGTCAGACAGGAGCATTAGAAAATTCTGTAGTTATGTGAGGGGTGGGCCACAGAGGAGACAGCAGAGACGGGGAGGCCCATGAGGAGGCTATGGAAATTGTCTGGACAGAGAAGACGAGGGTCAGAAGTAGGACGGAGGGCCAGTTGAGCAGAAGGGACACAGGAGAAAAGGTGAAGAAGAGGGAAGAAGCCTTTGGAGTCTCGGCCCCAGGGCAGAGAAGGCCCTACAGTGCCAGGGGACTGGGGGATGCTTAAAAGAGTTTCCTAGCCCGCTGCTCTATTTCCACTCAGGCCGCCTGGCCTCCATGCTGACCTCTGTAAAGAGCTAGCTAGCCTCTCCATTGCGTGGTCAGCAGGACATACCGAGGGCTCTCACTTATGCTGGGCAGACAGGCTTTAAATTACAGAACTCAGGGCTGGGATTGGGAGAGATCTCTGCTGCCCCCCAGCCCTGCCCCCCACTAGGACCCTTTGGCAATTTGGAACTGACCACTTACCAGTGTATTCTCCTAAAATCATCCTGGACATGATGACCGTAAAGATAGGAGCCGAGCTTTTCACCGTTTCAGCAAACGAGACAGCCACATTTTTCAAGCTAACCAGCCCCAAGACCACCGTCGCAAATCTGAAAATAAAGTCAAGAACAGCAGGTCAGAGATGGCTCTCCTGCTGTTGGGTGAAGCTTCTATGAAGCACAGTCAGTAAGCATCATATAATCATATAGTAAGTACAGAAAGACACATACACTTTTTAAAAAATCTAAGTAAAGGCATCTCCTGTTCCTTCCTCCAGACAGGCCACTTAGAAGTGGTCTTTCATCCTGGAAGGGGGAAATTTCTGACCATCAGACACATATGTTCATACGAAAGAAATGTCTGCCATCAGGAAAAAAAAAAGGTATTTTTTCCCCCAAAGGTTTCACTCATTTTACTCTAGACTTTATCTGCCTCCCCCTACATAACATCTGCTTGTACTTACATCCCACTTGGAAGATAACCAATGCCTTTCCTCACAGAACCCTGGGAGAGAGGGGCTGTTATTATCCCCATTTTACGGATGAGAGAATTGAGGCTCAGAAGGGAATAAAAACTTGCCCAAAGTCACAGATACCAACTGCTATAGGCCAGCCTTGACCCCCAAGTCTTCCTGTTCTCACCTGCCTCTTATAATAAATACTGCTAGAGGGGACAGAGATTGGACCTGGGATTTCAGTGATGTGGGGAACTCCCAGGTGGGGAAAGTCCTTTGACCACTGCAGGTCTGCCTCTTCTCTGCAACCTAGAGTCTGGGAGAGTTGCCCTAAGGTGGAGGGACTTGCCCAAGGTCACACAGCCAGCAAGTGTTAGTGGTGGGATTTGAACCCAGGTCTTCCTAGTTTTCAAGGCCAGCTTTCTTCCAAGTGAACCCTGCTGCCTTTATGACAAGTGTTATTAAAATAAACTTTGAACCAATATGAAAAGGCCCTAGAAAAACAGAGCCCTTTGTTGGAACATCGACTTGCTTCCGTGACGTTATCACTCAGGTGAAGCTCGTGTGTTATCACAAAAAGCATCTGCTTGCATCAGAAGGCTTGAAGGAGACCCGTGCAGAACTGGTGAAGCGCGGCCACAACGGGATGGACTCTCTCTCCTGTTAAAAGGTCCGATAGTGTCTGTTGGCATCTTCCATGAGGCCGGTACCCATTCTCACGGACAGTCAGAGACACGCTCGAGCTTGGCCAGCTTGGCTGTACGGCCTCCCCCTCTTTTAAAAAATCTCTCCCCCCTCCCCTTAAAAAAAAATCTTTGTTATAAGGGATGCTGGGTAGGCAGGGAGGAGGAATAGATTCAAGAATAAAGTGATGTAGAGACAAAAACCATGGGTAAAAATAAGATTTAAACAGAGAAACATGATCCAACATTCTCTTAGCCACAAAGATTCTTTACCTCATTAGTCCAACAAATATCATTATCATGATGAAATTAGATGGATAGGACAGGCGTGCTTTGTGCTGATATAAACAGCATGGAACAAAGATCTTAATACAGCCAATCACTGTGGTGGAAAACATCTGCACGGCTCCTAGAAAGAAGAGAGAAGAGAAAGTCAGACTCAAGTCAGGGCCTGGACTGTCCGATGGAATGAACTGAAGCAACGGTGTCGCTCGTCACCCTTCCCTGAGACACACAGACACAGACACACACTCTCACACACAGACACAGACATACACACACACACACACACACACCCAACTTGTAGACTTTTAGGAAAATGATTTCTTTTGCTCTGACACTACAAGCCAAAGGAGCAGCCTCTCTCGTCCCTACAGCGTGCTCCTGACATTTCATGCGGGTTAAGCCCCCAACAGCACAGAAATCAGACACGTTGTACAAAAGGCAAGCAGAGAGAAAGCTGCCTGGCGCCCGGAGCCCTTCCCCACCACGAGGTCCCAAACGGTCCCCAAGAACCTCGAATGAGCTCACCCAGCATGCTGGGCTCGCCTTCCAACAGGGACAAGATGTACTTGTTGAGAAAGAGAGTACAAAAGCTGAAGAAGAACCACAGGGTGAGGTAGAGGAGAGCGTGTGAATTCCATATGCCTGAGTCTGACTCGATGACCGTGGTCTCTGTGATGGTGATCTTCAGGACATTCTCATCGGGGGCGCTATCGCTTCTCGCAATGACAATTTTCTCACTCCGATTCCCAATGAGGGAGCCCAGGCCAAACAAGGATTTCCCCTTGGGCTTGTCCTCAGGGGCAGGAGATTTCCCCTTGAGCTTCTCCTCTGGTGGCACAGTTGGGACTTTTGTCAAGGAAGGCATGCTGCCAACACAACCAAGGAAATGCCCTCAGTACCAACGCAGGGCAGCACGGACCGTGGTGCTGGGTCCCACGCGTCCGCCTGCGGTCCGTCCTCCAGGGTCAGTGCTGCATGGATGCTGGCTTGGTCCTCCAAGGAGAGTCCTTTAGACAGAGGGTGGTGGTCTATTTCTGATGGCCAGCTTCATGTTCTGACCTAAAAAGAGGAATTGAACAATATCATCATGGCTGGCTCCGTGCTATCTACTAACCTCTAGGAATACAAAAAGGGACCAAAACACCCCCAGTACCCCCAAATACCCTCAAGGAGTCCCCAATCCAGCGGGGAGACAACGTGTGCATAACTAGTCATAGATGCAGACGAGATGGAAAGTGACTGGGGAGTGGAGAGGAGGAACAGAGCGTTCTGAGCCTAAGGAACGGCCAGTGTAAGTATTGGAGGTGGGTGATGGGGGGACTGGGTGAGAGGAAAAGCAATGATGCTAGAGAAGATGGCCTGCTGACTGCTTGAGGGAGTCAAGTGTAAGAAGGTGGGAGGGCAGGAGGGGGCCGGGTGGGAAGGGCTTTCATTTATATTTGGTCCTGGAGGTGAGAAGGAAAGCCTTTAGTTTGTTGAGGAAAGGCTGGTGGGGTGGTGATATTCTTCAAGGCAACCTTGGTCTGCCAAGACTACTATCCCCATTTTACAGACAGGAAAACTGGGCCTCAGAGAAATGAAAACAACTTGGGCCAGGGAGAAAGTAATGAGACTATAAGAATTCCTAAGATTCAGAGCTGGAAGGTGCCTGGGAGGGCCTGCTGTCTAGGGGCTCCTAGCCTAGAATCTGGTAACTTTTTTTTTCTAAATATTTTACTAGTGGTATATCAATCTATTTGCTTTCCTTTGTTATCCTATTCAGTTTATACATTTAAAAGCAGGATTCTGAGAAACAGTTGACAGGCTGCCCCAGACTGCCCAAGAAGCTGCAGTCCAAACGCCCCTGCTACATCTACCAAGCTTTTCCTTTGACAGCTAAGGAAACTGAGGCCCTGAGAAGGTGAGTGACTTGCCTAAGGTCACAGAAGAACCACACAGACTCAAACCTACATCTTAGGATTTTTACCGCTGGGACAAGAGGCAGGAAATAACAGTGGACATGGATGCGGAACTTTGAGGTCTGGAAAGCCCTTTACAAACACTACTTCTTTTGATCCTCTCAACAACCCGGGGGGGGGGGTTGCTCACATTATCCTCACTCTACATATAAGGAAACTGAGGCCAAGAGAAATGAAGTGACTTGCCCAGGGCCCAGAGTCTGAGACAGGATTTGAACTCAGGTCTTTGTGACTCTAAATCTAGCCTGCCACCTAGTGCCTTTAAGAGGAAAGGCATGGGGGCAGGAGGCAAAGTGGGGTTGGCACTGGGCCAGCAGGCATGGGAGGTGGAGACTGAGGACATCCTCAGTGAGTATGCACACAGAGGCGGGTCCAGCCCTGTCCAGAGGGCAGCAGCCTCTCATGGGATCCCAGAATTGAAGCCTTAGAAGGCCCCCGGTGGCCATGTAGCCCAACCTCCAAGTACAAAAGGAATCCCCCTCTCTAACACGCCCAAAGAGAAAAGACCCCCAAGGAGGGGGAGCCCACTCTTTTCCGCACACCGAGACCACACTGGTCTCACTGGGACTCCCTCCTGCCGCGGCTGGTTCTGCCCTGTGGGGCCAGGCAGAACATGTCAAATCCAGCTCCTCTGCACCAGGATGCTGGGTAAGGCCCAGGCCAGAATAAGCATTCAATCTGGCTATGTACCAGGTACTTTTGACAATGATTATCTCATTTGATTTGATAATGAGACAGAATAAAATGAAAAGGAAACAAAGGAAACTTTGGGGTTCTCAGTCTCACCCCTCTTCCTGCTGGCAACAGTTAAGATCCCCTCACTGGTTTCAGCAGCCAGAACGTCTGCTGGACTTGGGATCAGAGGCACCTCCAGGGCCTCAGTTTCATCTGTAAAATGGAGCGGATGGTCCCTAAGATCCCTTCCAGCTGTGCTCCCATGGTTGTCCCTCCCCTACTGGCCTTCGTGGCCCACCCTGTCCCCCTCCAGGCGATCCTCCTCTTTTTTCAAGGAAGCAGTGAGTCACATGTCTATCTTCCATTATCTTCTTTACCATTCAATGGCTGACCTATTCATATTTTATCTACATCACCAACAGATGCCCAAAATGCGATAAGCAGGTTAATGCCAACAGCTGCCGCCGCCTTAGAATCTGGGACAAAGTTCTACCAGTCTATGTGAATGGGAATTATTAGGCCTATAATCTCTCACGGGAAGGGATTCGCTCCGGAAGGGCCCCAGAGACACCTCTAACTCAAAGGTTCTTCACTGAACTTCTTTTAAAAACAACTAGGATTTCAACATAAAAAATAGCTGTGTTTCAACACAATTGGTTTCCTTCAGTAATCCTGGCATTGATTAGGCACTACATGCTAGGCACTGTGCTAAAAACACATTTTGTAAAATGTTACGTATTTAAAACATGATTCTGAGAAGGAGTCCATGAGGCTGCCCCCGACTGCCAAAGGGGACCCTAACAGTGGGCAAAAAAGGTTAAGAAGCTATGCTCCAACCGAACAGATCTCCAAATCATTCTGCGTCCAAGAGAGCACCAGCGGTTTAAGCCATCCCAAGGCTCGACCACAGGACACGGAGGCCAAGCCCGGCCCACAGATACGGAGGGACTTTCCCAGGGCGATATAGTTTGTTCCTCCGGGGCAGGAGCTGCATCTATTAGCCCACTCTTTTAATAAATCACTCTTTAAAGAAACGATCCATGGACACACTCATTTCTAGTAATGAGGTTAATGACCACCTTCTCATGCATGTTTTGAAAAATCTGGAGTTTTTTGTATACGAGGTTTCCTTAAGGTGAAACTTATCTAGGTGGCTTAGAGGAGAAAGGATTATTAGGGAACAGTCTGGTGATACTAAGGCAGGGAGTGAAGGCAGGCAAGCTGTTGTCCAGCCTTCTCAGTAGGCAGAAGACAGAAGACCACCCAGCAGTCCACGGATCACACTAAATGGCAGTGTCCCTTCTTTTCAATAAATTTCAACATAATATTGTCAGTAAGTCCTATTGTATTCCTACCCAAGTAGGAACTGATCCTGTGATTCTAAATGGGAGAAATGACTAGAAATCTTTTAAACTGCCACCTGCCCACATGTCTGCATAGTACTTTCTAAAAAGGACCAGAGCCCTTCCCAGAATTTGGGCTCTCCATCAACTGTGGAAGATACTTTCCCAAAAATGAAAATGCAGATTACAGGTCCCCTTTCTGCCTATCCTGACGCTCTGCTCCAAGCTGTGAGTCCCCGCTGCCTTCCCCGGCCCACTCCGGTCTACCCTGGCACTTTCTCTCTATTCTGCACAGATGCCATGTTGTTCCCCTTTTGTTCCCATGGGGGGACAGGCGATAAAATGTGGGCAGCGAGCTTGACCCCAGGTCACCCTGGGTGATCGACCTGCCAGCTGAGCTCCCTTGCTGGCCTACCTCCACCTGGGAGCTGGGTCTCTTCTTCCTGCTGTTTGTTTCGAATCAAGGTACAACGTGGCTCTCCTGGCTCTACCTTGACCTCCTGGCTGTTCCTCCATAGGCTTGTAGCCAATTCTGACCCAGCCCACTACCCACCCACGCCCTGGCACTACGCGTATGCCGTAGAGGACCACATGCTCCCTAGTGAACCATGACAAACACCCGTGAGCCAACAAGATACTGTGAGAGAGTACAAACTGTCAGGCCTTTGCTGGGGGAAGGGAAGGATTCACATCCTGCCTTTTCCTAATAATGGAATAAAGATTGCCATGCCAATGTCCATGGGACGAGAGTTACACATAACCAGAGTATTAATGGCCTTGGAAACAGAGAAATCCTCGGGGTCATGCACTTGAGCTTGCAAAGAACATTCAAACTACAACACTGCATCTCTCTGTCCCGATTCTGCGACTTCTTGGTGACCCCAAGCCACCATCTCTAAGCACTGATTTCATCAGTGAACACAGGGCACCCACCCTCAAGGGCAGGGGCTGTCTCCTCCTTGCATGGCAACCCCGGCACCCAGCTCAGGGCTCAGCCTGGGCACAATCCCTCAGAGGTGACTATCGGTGGTTTCCCCTATCAAGTCCTGAGGTCCTTGGGGGCAGGCCCCCCAAGACTAGCTAATATAGGGCTTTATACACTAATGAATTCCCATGAATGAATGAAGGCTTCCTGAATCGCTAACACTTGAAAACATGGCCCACCCTGGCCCTCTGGGCAAAGCATTCTTTTTTAACCACCTCCTTCAATGAAGGATATAGCACCAGTTCACAGAGTTCCAAGGTAGATCACAGCCTCAATATTCACTTTATGAATTCTGATCTCAGTTTATGATAAGTAACCAACGAAAAACCACAATGCAGAGAAATGCCCATAAACCTTCCAGGAGGGACAAGGTGTGGATAAGCCTTCTGATCCTGTCTACACTGTGTTCTCCTCATCCAAGTACAGATAACCCCAAGGCCAAGCACAGCTAAGCACCCCCTTAACACCAACAGACAACATCTGAGCGAGGTAAATACAGGAGGAGTGCCCCCCACTGGATGGAGCCCCATGGGGGAGAGAGTCATCAGATGATGCAGATAGGAGAGAGACGTGTATGGAGGCTGTGCAGGCAGGGAGAGAGGGAGGGAGGGAGGGAGAGAGGTGGGAGGACCACAGGCTACATACATGCTACCTAAAGAGTTCAGTGACACAGGTGTTCACCCTCTCAAAAAAAAGCCAAGGTTCACTCAGATGCAGCGCCAAAAGGGACCACCAAATACACCCTCCTCGTCTAACAGGAGGAAACTGGAGCCCAGAGAAAGGAAGCCTAACCTCCCAAGAGACCACAGGTCACCAGCATCAGAGGCAGCACTGGAACCCTGGCTCTTCCTCGCTGCCCTCTTCGACCCAGCCAGACCTCAGTTGCCTATGAGGCAGGTGGTATTGGCTTTCAGACACTGGCAGAGGTAAGGTCAGGGTGGGGAACCTCTGGCCCTCAGGTGCAGCACTTTGACCGACTGGGTCATTTTGGTCATTTGGGCCCCGGGTGGCCTCGAGGCCGCAGGCTCCCCACCCCGGGTTAGGTCATGCTAGGGATTCTCCAGGGCAGCACGCAGAATCTGCCTGTCCAGCTGTCTG